CTCTTGACTGCTCATGGGGAAGGCGATAGAAGGAAAAAAAAGCATCCCTGGAGTATTGCTTGAGATTTAAAATTTCATTAGGAGAGCTACAACTGCAGAGTTTTTGCCTAAAATTTTAATATGGGGAAGTTTTATCCTATATTGAGGACAGAGCACAAATGCATACTTCATCCCTTCCCCTGGGGAAGAGATTAGTGTCAGGACTGTCTGCAGGACACAGCAAACATCAGGGTACGTCAAGGACCTGATGATGGTTCCGTTATCCTCAGAGTGTGTCTGCACCAGCTGGAGCCCCGGCGCTGTTTAAAACTGAACCGTGTTTTCTCCTGGCTGCCTGCGGTCCCCAGGGGAGCATCCGTCAGCTGAGCAGAAGTGGCTGGTGCAGCGCCCCAGCCAGGCACTGATACGGTCAGCCTCAGGGGCGACTTGCGAAGGAACTGTCGCAGCCGTCCTGAAACCCAGCAAGTGCTGCCTCGCTGCAGTTTTCCCTCTCGGCAACCCGTCTGGTTTTGGCTTTTGTTGTGCAGCTGATGTGAAAAAACTCCTGAAGTCTGTGTGTCTGCAAGTTTTTAAACTGTAGCGTTAAAAAGAGAGTTAACGGAATCAGCTAAATCACATCTTGGTTTAAAAACGCCTTGGAAATAAAATCTGGAAGAGCTCACCAGGTCAGAGGTGCTCAAGGCAAGCAATTTAGCAGGAGCAGCTGAACGCCTGTACATGTGTCTCACAAGTAACTACAAATTAATACATCTTTATGAAAGCAGTTAAGGTTTTAGTTGCTGAAGACGTGTTTTTAAGACTCTTGCACAAGCCAGCCGTTCGAAGTGTTTGAACTGATGAACTCAGCTCAGCTGGAAAATGTACCGACCTGGAACTGCGTTTGAAGTGTGTCTTGTGTTAACACGCTAACGTAAAGGAAGAAGCTCTTTGTGGATTTTAAAACTAGCACTTAAACTCTGCCAATTGCTCCATTTAAAATGCTATGATAAAAATGGCAGAAAGAAATGTTCTAGGAATGGTAGCCAATGGCTTCTATTTTACATGAAATTTTAGTCTACATGGCTGATGAATGAACAAGTGTTAAAATAAGACTGGAGAAACACAATTTTTTTGAAAGAAAAACGTTTCAGAGTTGAAAAATCAGTTAATAAAATTAAGTAAAGCCTAGCTTCACGTGAGCCTTGATGAGGCGCTTTTAGTGGAGAGCTAAAAGTCAAGCCAGTAATTTAGTCTGGGACATGCTTCCACCGCACCCTCTGGCTGAGCGGAAGATCGGTGCCGAGTCCAACCATAAACAATATCGTAACTGTGCTAAAAGCATCGTATTTTGCTTTGTTTAGATTTGCATTGAGTCATTTGGGGAAACTGGATGCCCCGTGCCATCGTCCTGTCCCCCAGCAAAAGCAGAGGAAGGGTTGCGTGACTGACACAAGTTGAGGAAGTGTGCCCAGAAATTCTTTCTACGTCTTTCTCTGTATTTTTGGTTTGTAAATTGTTGGTGACCATACAAAGATTTACGCTTATGTGTGGGGTTTCTAGAACGTGGCCTTGTAGAAGGAAATACTTCTAAATGATAGGAATTTCAGCATTTCCATGCAGATTGAGACTCGCTGCCTACCAGCTTCAGAACTCGACCCAGAGCACCAGGCCGCCCCACACCTTTGCAGCCAAAGAGCAGTCTGCCCTCCTGCCTCCAACCCCCACAGCACGCTCCCCACGGCTGATTCTCCTTTGATGACCAGTTCCTTAGTCAAAAACTGACTTCAAACAAAAAAAGCCCGCCTAAACCTCTCTTTTTTTTCCCACCCCGGCACCCGCAGGCAGCGCCGAATTCGATTTTGGTGTTTCGGTTTTGGGACGGGAGTATCTATAATTTTTGCTTGTGGTTTTGTTTTTTTGAAAAGATTGCTCATCGGGGTCAAGAAGAAAGCCTGAGGACAGGGCCATCATGTGAGATTGCCGGAAGGGTATGTTTTGTGCCAAAAATACCATTCTAGATCTCAATTTGCTACTCGAATTGCAATGGAAAATTCTTTATAGTGAATGTAATATGAATACAAGCCCAATGCTCAACTGATTTCAATAACTTGTTACATACAGACCAATAAATCATCCTGAAGTGTCCTGGTTTTGGTTAAAACAGAACCGATTCTCTTTTAGTGAATGTTCCTTATAGTGAAGTTGTTCTGAGTAACTGCATTTTCCTAAAGCAGGCTGCATATTTTACAGACACTGTCCGCTCCAAAGCTGCTAACACCTGACGTTTGCAGGTACACTGAGCTAACGGTAGGAAAGGAATGCAGAAAAAGGCCCCTGTTTATTGCTATAGCAGCCAAGGTCACCAGATCGCTCAGGTCCCACAACAGAGGAGTCGCACTTGCGGGGAGGGGCGGACAGGTGACCCGATACTGACCAGCGAGGTATTCCATGCCCTGCAAGTCATGCTCGCTTTAAAGCCGGGAGATCATGAGGGTCTCACTCTGTTCATCCATGGCCGCCTGCTGAAGAGGACCCTGCTCCTTGTCCTGCCTGCGCTCCTGATCCAGATTCCCATCCGTGCACCCCTGACTCCAGTTCCTGTCTGCTGCCGAGGCCAGTCCGGGACTGCCTGGTGCTGCCCGGCAGCTGCTGGCGGGATGCTGGGAAACTCGGTATCTGTTTTGGATATTTTGCCTTATTCCTCTCATTATTAGTATTATTAGTAGAGCTGTTTTAATACAGAATTTGCAAGTCTCTCTCTCCTTTCCTCCTTTTTCCCTTCCCGTGGTAGGAGGGTGGGGGTTAACAGAGAGCATCTGCCCCTCTGGTTATCGCCGCCCTGCTCCAAGGGTGACATGGGGTCACACTGTCCTTGACGTCCTTATAGTGTACATTAAATAGGGGCTTCAAATATCCGATAAAAGTATTTCTTTAGCAGACAAACTTATTCACTGCGTCAATTTTAAATTAGGTCTTGAGGGATTTCAAGGATATCCAGTATTGGTTGGCAGGTTTGAAGATTATTTGTGAAAAGCTGTGCACAATCTATGCCTGTTTTTCAAATCATTAAGAAAAAGGTCTATGTCTGTAAAGCTCCAGGTCTGCAGATTATGTCTGTTTTTCTTACCAGAAGCAAGCCACCTCACTGCATAAGAAATGAAGAATGTCAATCATGATATTATTTCTATTTAAAAATAATTAAACACCCTCTAAACCTCAACTTCAGTAAGACTGTGTCACCTTGAGAAAATTCAAACCCACAGCACAGAATACACCAATTGGTGTATTTTCTACTTTTTTCTTCTGAACATATGGTTAATCTATATTCTTGAAATCTAAAGATTTTGGGTCTTCCCTTCCTCCAGAAGTCGGAAGGTACGATTTGAAAAGCAAACCTGAAAAAGGAAAATAATTGACACTCATTCTTCATCAAAATCTTCACAGTGCGTTTGCGAAATATCATCGATGACGTAGCTCATGAGGATCATTTCACTGCTGAATAATCTATTCAGAGAGAAGCGGAATGCCAGAGAAGCCTGGGGAAAAGCCCCAGAATTTACTGTGGGAATTTAAAAAAAAAAAAAAAAAAAAAGGAAGGAAGGAAAAGGAGAAGAGCAGCAGCACAGGACAGCACTGTCATGGTTGGAGAAACAGTGCTGGTTCTTTCTCATTAGATGTAGGAAGAAGAGTTTATCAAGTAAAAAAGGATATAAAAAATGTAGTATATTAAAGGCATTTATGATAATTAATTTTATTCTCATTGCACATTCCCAGGATACAGCTGAAATAGAACAAGTTTGGTCTACCTTCTGGAACTGGATGTGTTTAAAAAAATTAACACTTTTCAGTGGGCAAAACTTTAATAACAACACCATAAACAATTATACAAAAATCATGTACATATTTTGACAGTTCTAAATAAAATATATATATATACTTTTCCACAAAGTAAAATCAGTTAAATAAACACTTGCAGGCCTCTGGCTATCCTGGCAGAAAAAAAAAAAAAAAAAAAAAAAATAATCTATTTTTCTCCAATAGGGCAGTTGGAAGTCTGACAGTTCAGCAGATTTGTGACAAGAGACTGATTGTACGGGTAAAGCCAATAAAGCTGTTCCAGAGATGATCACTGGAAAACAACATCCCTAATGTTTGCCCTGTACAGTACTGCTTCGACAGGAGGAACAAGGAAGCGTGGGTCAGGAGAAACCTGTTTTATCTTTCGGGGTGGTGGAAATCAAGCTACAAAACAAGAGCCCAAAGATGAGCAGTACTACACAGCGCTCGTGCCTGCAGTATTTCATTCCCCGTCGGGGCTGCTGGAGATGTGAGTGTAACAGTAAGATTTTAAAAACAAACTGGAGAAAGCCACCCCTTCCCATTCAACAGCATACTACGTTATCATTGACCAGACTACAAAACTCTAGAGTCAAGTATTTGGGAGTTTGGGAAGGGGTTGGAGAAGGGGAAGAGGAAGAAAAATATCTGGGGAAAAAAGTATTCTAGATCCAAATGAATTTTACAATCTCAAAAAACCCCAGACACTTCGGTGATGACAAGTACCAGTTTTCCTTGATTTAGAAACACCATTAAGATATTTCAGCTAACACTGGTTAAAAAGCGACAGAAGCCTTCAGCTTCAAAATACAGTTGTTTTTTTTTTTATTCAGAAAAAAGGTGAAATATTCAAACTGGATGACTAGATTAAGATGCTATTCAAGTACAACCACAAAGGTCAATAAAAATTAAGTAATTTCTTCATGTAGGTGTAAAGAGAGGCTATTTTAAGTGTGTGAGTAGCTAGAGGTGAGTGCTTCCACAACACAGTAATCCTACCAATTGCTTAACCGTACCAGCCAACCATCGAGATGGCAGAAATTCTGTTTTACATTCTAGGTCTCAGTTTTGTGTCAGAATATCTGCAGGTATTCCTCTCTATGCTTCTTTCGGAATTTGAGAGATTACAGGTTCGGGGGGGGTTTCTGCGTTGTTTTTTCGGTTGGTTATTTTAAATTTTGGGGATCAACACATATGCAAGTACACACAAGAGAAGCGTAGAGCAATCTCAGTTTTAAAAGGCATGTTTTTCCTCTTTTTCATAGAATCAGCATTCTTCTCTGAAGTCTTGCTTCTCCTGCCCCATGTCACATTCTCCACTACTGTTTGTTACTCAGCTGTGCAGACTTCAAACACCAATATGCAGTACAGCATTACAGAAGTTCCTGAGTCGGGTTTATTCATCATTATCTGTAAAAAGCAGGAGAGGGGGAGAGACAGGGTGAAAAGGAGGGAGAAACACACACACAAATCAAGCTGGGGTTACCAAACAAAGTAGAAGCCACAGTTTAGTAAGCAATAGTACAAGAATTCGCTACGTCAGTCACCAGCGAGGTGGCTGTTACCAAGACTGCCTTAAAAGCACTATGTGTACAAATATGGAATAAGGTGTCATCTTTATTGGATTAGTGAATTTAAGATGGTTTCCTCTCAAGGGGCCTGCTTCAGTTAGAACAACCCTCTTAGTAAGCAGCAATATAGATTTTTTTCTAACTTTTCTTATTTGGAGATTATAAAACTTTTGAAGCTCATGAACGTGCTTCTGACTGTCACTTGTCCTCTGTTCACCTTTATTAGATAGGATTCTTTCTTTAAATGTCTGAAATTTGAAGAATGACTTTAAATGTAGTTCTTCAGGTATTTTAGTGCTGAAGTACTAAATGTACTTTAAATGTCTGAAACATCAAGAACTACTGTTTCTTTACATTTTTGCATGCTACCACAGATTTGTAAAATAAAGAATTAGAACCGAAGCTACTGAAAATAGCCACTCGTTAATCAGCATTCTGCAAGATGGAAGTCAGCTCATTTTAACAGCTTACAATTTGTATGCCGACATTTCAGCAAATTCTCATTTAAGCCTTTTAGTACTAGTTTTAAAATATCCTTGAGGCAAAGTGGCAAGGAAAAGAAACTAGTAACACTGTAGTTAACCTTTTTCTCCTCGTTCTATATTGCCAGTCCTTTGGACACTTGAAAAATTAACTACTACAATGTATCTTTCCAATTCTGTCATTAAATCCATAAATTGTTGTAGAAAAAATATTTTTCAGACACTCTTCTGTCATACTTCTGTAACACAGCATGAAAAAAACATGGTACTGGTTATTCTTACTGAGTGGTTTTATATCAGTAGCAAACAAAAACTGGGAAAATGTAATTTGTATTAGAATTTTTAAAAAAAAACTTATGTTTTTAAAGCTAGTTTTTAAGACTTTTTTTTCCCCAAGCATTTATATATAAAAACTATAGAAAGGCGTGATCTTATTTGACCCTTTATTCACTGCTACAGCAACATACTTGTAAAAGAATTGAAAAGATGCAGAAAGGAGACGTTGGTTAACACGTATTAGAATACTTTTTAAAAATTGAAATACATTAAATAGTGCTCATTGCACACATTTCTAAAGCCAATACATAATGCTTCTGATTTCTATAAAAATAATGGAAATTTTAAGATTTTTTTTTTCTCTCCAGTAAAGACTTTGATTATTAGAAATCTAAAGTTACATAACTGCAGTTAATTTTTGACACGAAAGACCAAAGCCACTTCTCAGTGACAGTGGTCTGTGTGGTATTTCACAGAGCCACTCAAAGATCCAGGAACTCTCCATCCGCCTAGCAATTTGTGCTAAGCTAGGTGGGCTCCAAAGGAAAACAAATTCTCTTCATGTATGACTGAGCCACCTGAAAACTAAGATGGATCGTACCTCCACACCAAGCTCTTCTGAAAAATGACAATAAGAGGATAAAGACCCACATGAAATTTTCTTTTCAGAAAAGCAGTGATGCTGCAACCCATTAGAAGTAGAGGTTTGGAAAGAACAATATTCTTTTAGCTAAAAATTCATTAATTCTTAAGACAAAATTGTTTTTAATTCTGGAAGTTTTATTCTAGACTTCCATCTTCCCAATCTCTGTAACTGTTTTACAGGCATTAAATAGCTACACTGCACCTTTCATATGACATCTGCCGTTACAGTTGACTGTATATGGCCATACCGCTACATCAGAGTGGTCAGCATGCTTAATCACAGTTTACCACATTTTGTTGCAAGAATAAAAATACCCTTTGTGGAAAAAAAACCCCCACTTTTATCCATTTAGCCAAACGGCATAATAAAGCACAGATACGTTTTAAAAGTGTATTAGAACCTATTGTATATAACCAAGAAAGAACTAAGACATCCAGAACTGCCAGGAGGCAGTGACGATAGATTACCTTCTTGGTAGGCTCCGTCTGCCATTACTAGGTGAAGTATTTTGGCATAGAGGTGTTTGTGTTCATTTCCAAGAATAGTTTGAACTATGGTGGAACAAGTATCGATATTTTCATCTTCATCTTCATGTATAGCCTGAGAGAAAGAACAATCCATGTTGCGAAAATTAAAATGGGTACAGAATTAAATAGTTCAAATTCATTAAATGTAATTCAGTTTTCCTCTTTAATCCACTGGCAAGGCGTTTTCTGTGTTAATATTTTAGTGCATTGAAACAGAGTAAGAGACTAAAGAAGTAAGCATTGATTCTAGTCACACAATGCAGTCAGTTACTGGCACAGTAAACAGCCATAGGAACATTTCTCTTGTTTCTTACAATATTTTCCACTTGAGGTTATTCCACAAACCTTTATTTTCTCATAAACTTCAATGAATTTATCAAAGCCTATTTCCCGCTCCAGGTTATCTCTCAGCTCTTCCAAATGGCTGAAGATACTATCGCATTCTTCACATTCACTGGTGATCTCTCCATCACTGTTGTCTACAAAGAAAGCAAGCAACAGTAAACCCCCCTTAGTTTCCCAACATTCTGAACGTTGCTTCTATGTCCCTAAACTTGATACCCACACAGATCTCCAAACGTAACGAGAACGGGTAAGCTCAGGAGCACTAGACGGTGCCGGCAGATGTTCTGAACAACCTGCAAGGAAACAGAACAGTCCCTTTCCTGACAGCAAATACATTCTGAATCCCAGATGGGAAGCAGCATATAGCCATCTCCTCTAAAACCCCACTCTGACAGTTGGCCAGAGGGGTACTTGTACTGAAGGAAAGCAAGGAACGGTCTTAAAGCAGGCTGTTGTCTACCAAAGCAATGTTAGTAGGTCAAGCTCCATATAACCATTCCACACATTTCTGAGGTGCAACCGATGCAGGGTTTGGTGGCTGTCCCACTCTAGGGAAAACAGCTCCTTAACGAAGCGGCTGTCTTCTCTCAGAAAATGAGATGTACATCAAGAATCAGTTATTTAATTTCTGCACTCAGATGCATCTTGTTCCATGGAGGAAGTCTAGAAAAGCCAGTACTAATTTAGCTACAAAGTTCTTCATTTTTTTCCGAGTGCATCTCCTTTGTGTAGCAAATTCAGTATGCCAATGGGTGCAGTAAGATACAGGAGAGAAATCTAGATGATTTTGCTTATAGGCTACAGAAACCTTACCAACAGGTTTGTTACAATCAAACATTAGGTAAGTTTAACAAAAAAAGCATCGATTTAAAAATACAAGATGGAATCCCTATGTAAAATCCCATTATAAAATGCAAACTGCTTTTGCCCAAGAAAAATACTTCCTTAAATAAGTATTTAATTATGAAAGGACTTAGCTACTCAGGGAAAAAATATACAACTTTTTAGATTTCAATACATAGCATTGCCTGGTAGGTCACAGACTTTGTGAGTTAGTATTAAAACTCTACTGCTGTCAATTCCTATACGTGACTAGTGTAAGGTATAATCCTGACCAAATCCTATCCCTGAGTCAAGTATCAACAGTCACATCAATAAGAAACTGCTACTGAAATAAAAAGGAAAGTTGTATACGGGTTAAAAACCCATTAGATGACTTCTAATCCTGTATTTGACTTCTGAATCGTGAGCAGATTTGGTTTCAAGTTCTGGCTGTCCCTTGAGTTTTGAAGGCCTTCACCTACCACCAACTATGAAACTTGCAGTTCTTACGAAAGGACATGAATCTAGAAGGTAGGGACACTGACACCAAATACCGTCACGCCTGGAACAACAACAGAATCGCAGAAACAGACAGTATTGTATGTTATCAGTGTGTAACATCAGCACTGTCAAAAAATTAAAGAAGATGGTATTACCTATGTTTATTTTACCTTAAAATACTTACTGGAATGTATGATATAGAAAAGATCTTACAGAATATTCATAGATTTTCAATTTGTTTCTAATTGTCTTCAAAAACCCCAAATTACAGAAAAGCTCTGTTTTAGTTATGGATTTTATACGTCTTTTTATACCTATATTTCTAAATGCACTTTATTTTACAGCGGTAGTAAAATACTTGTATTTCAACAGGAATTTAAAACACAGAACAGACTTCAGGACACCACAGTGTATAGCTAATGCAAAATGCTAAAAGCAGTCAAAGTTTTCTGTCAAATTTTTAGTTTGACTGCGTTAATAGCTATTTTGGGCTAAGGACAAGGTTAATAATTTCATGTTCCTTTTGACTGCCTGTTAGATTACTTAATTGTAATGAAAGCTGGATCCCAGATACTCCAGTCATGTAAACTGCTACTTCTTTTTCACTTTCACAATGGAGTCATGAATTATTCAAAACCTATGACGTGCACAGAGCCTTCCATCTTCCTGAAGACAAGTTTTAGACAACTAGAGAAAAAGTGACTTATCACTGCCTAACAAATAGCCAACATTTAATTTGCAACATTGAATGCTCCTTAGATGTTGACCTTAACACTCAGAAAGTCTAAATACTATTTGATTTTTTAAAACTTCTGTATAAAAACTATTAATTACAGCTTTATTTCATTATAAGTATACAATCCAAAAACATTATTCTGTGTTTGAATTGCTAGCATCAATAAATTATAAAATAGGTGTAAGAAATGATACCTGATTGCCATTCTTCATTAAGTGCACTTTCACTGCTGGGGTTATTTTCATCTCCTTCATCCAGCTCTGTACCATTTGTTATGCATCTGATGACACTGGCCTTTAACGTAGACTCCTCCTCTTCACTGAACTCCTCGCTAGGCTGCTCCCTAAGCAATTGTTCCATTGAGGCCCGGAGTTCCTGCAAGTCTGTGTCTGCCTCCCCAAACATACTAAAAGAAAGTGATACAAAGGTTATATAATTCATACTTTACAAGGCAAACCCTGTAGGAAGAGCTCATTGCTTTTGTTAAGCCAACAAACTAGAAAGCCAATGTAGCTGGGGGGGGGGGGGGGGGGGGGGAAAGAAGCCAAATTT